ATGTTCCTCTTAAAACCATATAACTTTTGTTTGAAACATTTTTTTCGTATCTTTTAGACTTTACGAGAGAGATATTTCGATGTCTCAAGATAAAAAACTCACCCTATATATAAATTATATATATATATATATATATATATATATATATATATGTATATATTTAAATTGTATTATATTAATATATAATTTTATATAAAAATAGTGTTATAGATTTTATTATTAATATCATATTAATAAAATCTTAATCATAAATTTTTTCTTGTAACGTAAACTTAGAAAAAATTAACACATATTCAATATTTATATCAATAAAATTTTTTACTATTCACGAGTTCATGCTAGAAAAAAAAATTTATGATTGAACTCCAAGTAAGGAAAAGATCATACCACTTGTATCATGTTTATATTTACAATTATATTTACAATGTATATAGAATATAAGCTATATTGTAGTGTATTTAATTATGCATATATACAGGGTGTCCCTAAATTCGCGCCCACGGAGTACAAGGCGTGATACTTTAGGCTAAAAGAAATAACTTTTTCCTTTAGCAAAATTGCGTGCGATAAGTAGTTTTTGAAGGAGAGCAGGTTGAAGTAAACCAATAGGCGTTCTGGTGTAAGTGGCGCTCAGGGCCGGCGCGCGCGCTTCGCTCACTTGTATCAAATTCTTGACTAGTATTTACAAGTAATGTTAAAACATTAATGCTTTGTTATAATTAGTTTACTATGAATTTATTTTTATCTTAGTTATGATTTTATTTTAATTATACATATAATTAGTTAGATTATACTTAAGACTCAAATAATAAGAATCAACTTGAATACTGAACCGTGATCTTTTTCCATATTGTATTCTTTAAAAAGTGAATAATTAACAAAATAAATATTGCTTTTATTTCTTACGTAATAAAAGATAAAAGAATGTCTGATTTCGTAGATCTATCTGAAAATAGAGACAAATGTAAATAGTAATGTGCTTTGCAAGCTAAACGCGTTTCTATTCTTCTAAATTTTTTCTTTTTTCATCATTTTCTTACATTTTGAAAAATTTTCTACAAAAATATCAATTGTGCCGCTGGCATTAGGTTTAGCTCGCAAAGCACATTACTATTTACATTTGTCTCTATTTTCAGATAGATCTACGAAATCAGACATTCTTTTATCTTTTATTACGTAAAAAATAAAAGCAATATTTGTTTTGTTAATTATTCACTTTTTAAAGAATACAATATGGAAAAAGATCACGGTTCAGTATTCAAGTTGATTCTTATTATTTGAGTCTTAAGTATAATCTAACTAATTATATGTATAATTAAAATAAAATCATAACTAAGATAAAAATAAATTCATAGTAAACTAATTATAACAAAGCATTAATGTTTTAACATTACTTGTAAATACTAGTCAAGAATTTGATACAAGTGAGCGAAGCGCGCGCGCCGGCCCTGAGCGCCACTTACACCAGAACGCCTATTGGTTTACTTCAACCTGCTCTCCTTCAAAAACTACTTATCGCACGCAATTTTGCTAAAGGAAAAAGTTATTTCTTTTAGCCTAAAGTATCACGCCTTGTACTCCGTGGGCGCGAATTTAGGGACACCCTGTATATATATATATACATATATATATATATATATATATACATATATATATATATACTCATATATAAATATATATATATATGTATATATATAATTAAATATATATATATATATATATATATATATATTATAATATATATTATATTATTTTTATTTATAGTTAAATTACATTAATAATTTTAAACTTTCTCTCCTTGCATTATTATATACACGGTGGGCCATTTTAATCGATGCACTCGAATATCTCGAAAACAGCACTCTTCAGAAAGAAATGTTTCAAACAAAAATTGTAGGGTGTGAAGGGGGACATAAGATGGTGTCATTGGTTTGACCTTGGATAGTCGTTTGAAGATCACGTGAAGGTCACCTTTAATTTCTTAAATGGAAACCCCCATTTTTCAATGCATATTCTTGTAGCTTATCTCGAGAGCTTTCCAAAACACTACAGACAAATGTTTTTTCATTAAGTACTTTTTGAGTTATAAGGCTTCAAAGTTTGCAGTACTTCGATATAAAATGCAAAATATCTCGTAAAATATTTAGTTTTCGGTAGTCTTACCCTAATACTTTTATGCACAGCATAATGAGACAAAACTATTGGTACAAAGAAAACGCATTGTTTATAACAAAAAGTGCATTGCAAATTACACATTTTTTATTATAAACAATCATACGTTTTCTTTGCACCAATAGTTTTGTCTCATTATCCTGTGCATAAAAGTATTAGGGTAAGACTACCGAAAACTAAATATTTTACGAGATATTTTGCATTTTATATCGAAGTACTGCAAACTTTGAAGCCTTATAACTCAAAAAGTACTTAATGAAAAAACATTTGTCTGTAGTGTTTTGGAAAGCTCTCGAGATAAGCTACAAAAATATGCATTGAAAAATGGGGGTTTCCATTTAAGAAATTAAAGGTGACCTTCACGTGATCTTCAAACGACTATCCAAGGTCAAACCAATGACACCATCTTATGTCCCCCTTCACACCCTACAATTTTTGTTTGAAACATTTCTTTCTGAAGAGTGCTGTTTTCGAGATATTCGAGTGCATCGATTAAAATGGCCCACCGTGTATATATATATATATATATGTGTGTGTATATATATATATATATATATATATATATATACTTCTTAATCAGTTAATGTGTATGCAAGATAATACATCGTATAATACATTGAATTATTAAAAAATAACAAGAATTATACGTATTTTTATATAATGTTCATTAAATTTTATTAAAATAATAAATAATAAATACTTCATAAATATTTTCTACTATAATTCTTGCTATTTTCAGCTAAATTATTTATAAATATATATGTATTATCTTTAATTATACTTTATCTTATATATACAGAGTGTCCTATTTAACTTGACACATCGAAATATCTCGTAAAATCTAAAAGATACGAAAAAATGTTTCAGACAAAAGTTGTATGATTCTAAGGGAGACATAAGATGGTGTCATTAGTTTGAGCTTGAAGAGTCACCTGAAGGTCACATGAAGGTCACCACCAACTTTTTAAATGGGACACCCTATATGCTTTTGCATATTCTTGTTGCTTATCTCGAGAGCCTTCCAAAACACTATAATTAAGTACCTTTTCGTTAAATACTTCTTGAGTTATAAGGCTTGAAATTATTTCTTAATTTTACATAAACCATAAAATATCTAGTAAAATATTCATTTTTTGATTATCTTACTTTAATCCTTTTATATACAAAATAATGAGAGGAATCAATTGGTATAAAGAAAACATACAGTTGTTTATAAAAAAAATATAGAATTATTAATTGCAAATTACATATTATTTCTTAGTAACAACTATGTGTTTTCTTTACACCAATTGAATCCTCTCATTATTTTGTGCATAAAAGTATTAAGGTAAAATAATCGAAAAATGAATATTTTACAAGATATTTTATGGTTTATGTAAAATTAAGAAATGATTTCAAGCCTTATAACTCAAGAAGTATTTAACGAACATACATATATATACAATATAGTTTATATATTTTATACATATTGTAAATATAATTATCAATATAAATATGTACAAGTAATATGACCTTTTCCGGATCAAAGTTTTTCATACTTTCTTTTAAAAAACAACATTATTTATACACATATTTACATACCTTCTTTATTTGATTTTTCTTCTTTCTCTCTTTCTCTTTTTTCTTCTTTACTTCTTTTTACTTCTTTCTTAACACACTACTATGTAATACGAAAGAGTAACAAATAGGTTATGGATGACGAAGCGCTCGAGCGCTACGCTACCTAACTTAACCTAACCGCGAATATATCGGAACGCACCATCCTATCAGCATCGCAGAAAAGGAGGCTTCAACATTTCGATATATTCGAGTTATCGACTTAACATGCACTTTTTAAGATAGGATGATATAGCGGTCGGGCGATCAGAGAAAAGTCCCGTATGAACTTCCGAAAGTATGAAGCTAGCCCTACAAACGAGTGAACTTCCTTAGTGGTCTTGGGTTCGGGAAAGTTCTGCACCGTCGCAATACCTCTATCTGGGCTGTATTCCCTTCTCTGAAACTTTATATCCTAAATATTCAACTTCCGTGTACAGAAAGGCACATTTCTCCAATTTCAGCTCGAGTTTATTGCTAACCAGAATAGTGAAAATCTCTTTCAAAACGTCAATATGTGATTCTAACGTCTCAGTGGCTACTAAAATATCATCTATGTAGACCACGACATCACCCCGTTTTATTAATTCTGACAACGCCTCATTAATGAAACGTTGGAACAACTGAGGCCCGATTTTGAGACCAAAGGGCATTCGCAGAAACTCGAACTGACCTAGTGGAGTCACAAAAGAGGTGTACCTTACTTCGCTCGCCATCACGACATGATAAAAACCGTCCTTCAAGTCCAGCGAACTATAGAAGCGTTTACCTTTTAATGCATCCAATTGATCGTCGATTAGGGGTAGTGGATAGTTGTCTCTTACCAAAACCTTATTTAATGCCCGATAGTCCACACACATCCTAATCTCTCCCGATTTCTTCCGGGTTAGCACTACTGGAGAGGCGTATTCTGAAACACTTTTCCTAATTATACCTCGTTCTAACAAATCGTCTAAAATTCGCTGTACCTTTTCTTTTTCCGCGAATCCTAACCTTCGAGGACCGAATTGTACCGGTTTATTGTCTTTTAAAATCAAAGCAGCTTCTACTTGCACTTTAGGAGTTTCTGGTCGGATTGGCTCTACATAATAATCAATAAAAATACACTCGACCAACTCTCGTACTTTTACAGGCATGTCACGATTTATACATAGAACATACAAAAGTGCATAGAATTATTAAAAAAGCTCTAGGATGGAAACCATTTAAAAGACATACTAATCAAGGTTTATTTCCTGGTGATTTTGCTCGTCGTGAAACATTCTGCGATTGGATGTTAAACCAGGTAAGTGTATGATTGACTTGAATAAAATGTAATAGACATGCAATGAATATATTACTTCATTTATATCAATATCTTTCAGATTGACCTTGATAATGTGATAAATGATGCATTTTTAAAAAAAATTTTATGGACAGACGAGTGCATATTTCATAGTGACGGACGCATTAATCGACATAATGAACATCATTACGCTGAAGAAAACCCTCATTGCCGCAAAACAATTCATATCCAAGGATATTATAGTATTAATATTTGGGCGGGCATTCTGGACGATATGATTATTGGGCCGTTCTTTTTCCCAGAAAATCAGCATATCAATGGAGAAGTATATGCCGATTTCATCGAGAATACATTAGATGATTTTTTGGAAAATGTACCATTAGCTTTGAGGAGAACTATAATTTTCCAACAAGATGGTCATCCTGCCCATACTGCAATTGTCGCCGTACCATCTTAAACAGGAAATTTCCAAACAGATGGATTGGCAAATATAGTCATTTCCAGGAGTGGCCGCCGCGATTTCCGGATCTGACACCATTAGATTTTTTTCTGTGGGGATATTTAAAAGACAAGGTATATGAAACTTTACCACAAAATAGAGACGATTTAATTAATCGTATACGAACTGCTTTTTTGCAAATATCGCCACATATGTTAAGCAGAGTGCGAGAAAGTTTTGTGCGACGTATTGTTTTATGCGAAGAGCACAATGGAGGTTACTTCGAACACCTACTGTAAATAAATTATATTAAAATAAAAGTTTAAATTTTATAATATAATATTATACAAGTGTTTTTTCTTTTTAAATAAATAAAAGTTAATTAGTCATTACTTAATATTTAACTAACAATTATTAATATTATAATATATATATATATATATATATATATATATATATATATATATATATAATGTAACATTAATTTTGTTGTAAAATATATAACTTAATATAATTCTCAACATTATATTTCAATAATCCTTATTTATATATGATTACAATAATATTATATTATTAATATTATTAAAATATTAATAATATTAAAATATTATAACATTATAATATTATTAATATTCTTTTATAATATTATTAATATTATTTTTAATATAATATTATTGTAATTATATATAGATAAGGATTATTGAAATATAATGTTAAGAATTATATTGTGTTAAGTTATATATTTTACAATAAAATTAATTCACGGCAAATCTTATCAAAAAATTTAGTATTGTGTATGTGTGTCTGTGTGTGTGTGAAAAAAAATATAAAGTATAAATATTAAACATACACTTTTATAAAATGTTATACGACTATAGTTTATAATTCTTTTACAAAAAATATATTTTTCGTTGTGATTTCTTCTTCTAATAGCTTATTACGCGTTCATAGCGTGACAGCTAGTATATATAATACGTCGATAATTGCGTGCGCGAATGGACTGAATTGCCTATTCTATTTTATCGGCTTTGCGCGCCTATGGGCAGGTAACCCGTCGTAATGATCTGTATGTTGATGCAACACCCTGTACACCGACACAGACAGTCTCATATATCACATTGAGTGCGCGGATGTCTATGAGAACATGAAGCGCGATATCAGCAGATTTGACACGAGCGATTATGCGATGGACAATGCGTACGATATACCGCTTGTAAATAAAAAAGTGCCGGATCCGATGAATTCGGTCATTATCGCACCGTTATTTTCATCCTTTATCAGACCGGTCTGCATACAGAGGAAATATGTACTCGTGATAAAATTCGTACAGACACGTCTTGGATATGGACGCTAGGGTGGGTATTGTCGCGAATATGATTTAACGACAATGAAATCTTGTCAATTATTGAAGAACTTCGCGAGGCCGACCTTATTATAAATTAAACTATGCGTCGACGCTACGTGTCATTCGGTTAATGTTCTCAGTACCGAAATGTCGATTAATAAATTTGGATTATCGCCCGGAACATCGATCGACTATTGAATGATTATCGAACAGAAATGAACGTCCGTCGAACAGCTATTGAACGGTAATTGAACGGTCATCGAACGAAAACGAACGGTCATTGAACGGAAATGAACGCTCGTCGAACGGTCATCGAACGGTAATTGAACGGTCATCGAACGGAAATGAACGCTCGTCGAACGGTCATCGAACGATCATTGAACGGAAAACGAACGACCGTCGAACGGAAACGGACGCTCGTTGAACGGTCATCGAACGGTAATGAATGACCGTTGAACGGAAATTACAAATGGATGAGCTATCTCGACTCGTTGCAGAGTACAATACGCGAAAACATCGCACCATCGGTATGAGACCTGTCGAAAACTTTTAAATACGGTGTACAGCAACGTAAAAATTGCGGCTCCGACAAAATTTAAAGTAGGCGATTCGGTACGCGTGAGCAAATACAAGACCATCTTTGAAAAAGGTTTCACACCTAATTGGACGACCGAAGTGTTTAAGATTATCGAGGTGCAGAAAACTAATCCCGCGACATTCATACTCGAAGATTCGCGGGGAAATCCCGTCGCTGGAGGATTCTACGAATACGAGTTACAACGCGTCGCCAATCCCGACGTATATCTCGTGGAAAAAATTTTGCGGAAAAAGGGTGATGACGTATATGTAAAATGGTTGGGAATGGATAAATCATGCAACTCTTGGATTCATAAAAATAGTGTGTTGTAAACATTTATTGAAACATATAAAATATGCGTATAAAATATATATAAATATAAAAATATATAATATAAAATGTACAAAATATATACATGGTTATGAACAAAATATACGATAAACAAAATATAGATTTATTTACAACGGTATCTGATAATGTCCCCACGGTAGCGTATCGGTGGTATCGGGTACGATATATCGCTTGTCGTCTTACGGACTCAGAGCAATTTTCGTCTCGCGGATCGTGTATACTTGGTGTAATTTAGATCGTATACACGACTGCTGACGCGTCATTTCAATCTCTTCGTTCAAGCACCGCGTGTAATCATCAAACGTTATCGTTCTCGCGACAACGTTGCTCTTGACGCCTTTAACTTTCTTCGTATCCTTTTTCCCATTCACTCGTAACGCGTACATCTTTGCTCTGAGTCCGACGAATTCGGTCATTATGACGCCGTTGTTTTCGTCCTTCATCAGACTCGGTACCTTTTTATTTACAAGCGGTATAACGTACGCATTATCCACCGCATAATCGCTCGTGTCAAATCTAGCGATGTCGCGCTTCATATTTTCATACACATCCACGCACTCGATGTGATATATGAGACTATCCGTATCAGTATACATTACCCGGCATTTGTCGCGATACATTGGCGCCATATACTCGTGATGAAATTCGTACAAACATGTTTTGGATATGTCAAGGATGCACATACCCACGTAAATCGGCTTGTAGAATTTCACCTCGAGTTTACGCAATTCCACAGCGATTAAGTTTTCCGAAAAAACGCTTCTGCTGTGGAAATTTGGTTTCGCGATCATCGCCTCTGCGCCGTACCGACCGTCCCACTTTGTTAATAATTTTACATCGACACGATTGCGCACATTTTCCATCGTTTTGCCAAATACCGCATTATTCATTAATTTATATAAATTTTTTTCAAAATCATTTTTAGCCAATGTTCTGAAATGTGTATTTAATTCTATATAATTTTGAAGCCAGGAAGATTGAGAAAACTGTAAAATTCGATGTATTTTTGTTACACGAAGACCGTGACGTGTACACTGCTGCAGGTTGCGGTAGTGTATCACGTAACGCTTCTTATCGTATAACGTTGCAAGTAGCTTGAATTCCCGCTTGCCAGGTGGTTTGTCGCGTGTCGGGTAAAACGGTAGGTCAGTGTGTGCATCGTGAAGATGTTGTGGGTATTCGAGGTCCACTTCGAGGATATAGCCCGTAGGCGAATCTAGCGCGATGGATGATACGTCAAAATTGGACACGTCGTCGACCCATCGAAAATCAGCATAGGGCAGCGGTTGACACATTGCCCATCCGTACAAATTATTTACATCAAAGTACGATGATGGTTTCGATGGATCGTACGACTCCATGTGCTTGTTATTAGCGCGAGCGTATCTACCCGAACATTAGCTCAGGCCACCGCGTATACCACGTTCGATAAACATAACCATGTCGATGTCTGTAAGCAACTCGAACGTGATCTTTGTATGCTTCAACATGGCGTCCCACGTGTATCCGGGGAGAGTATAATAATACGCGGGGTCGAGTCCGTAACTTTCGATACATTTATCTCGAAAGTTTTCGAAAATGTCGGCTAATAACAAGACATCAATTTTGAGGTACAAGTTGCTATATTCGCCTAGCGTCCGAATGGAGAATCGTGTCCAGACGTTCTCGGCGTGCGCGTAATCGCTCTCGGATACAGTTTCACCGGTCAAGGAACTGTAAAACGATTCGCGCGGTGGTAAACACGTATCTTGCAACCTGTGTGTGCAACCCGGAATCGATGTATTCGTACGGAAATACACCTTTTCGCGTTAACAAATTGAAATTTTCTGTTGATAAATTTTGAAATTCCGATTTTAAATTTTAAGCTTATCTTTATCTAAAAATGATGCCAATTTATCGAGACTCGATGCGAGAAATTTGTATGAATCGATGAAACGTAATTTTATTTGATTTTTTTATTCTTCTTCTTCTTTAAGATCAACGCTTTTGGTAAACGAAATATATTTTTCCTTGGTTATCGGTAATAACTCGATTTTCCCTTCGAACGCTGTGGCTATTTCCTCGATGATAAAATGAGAATCGTAACCGGATAAATTGTGAAACACTATCGGAATGCAAAAAGAATCTTTATAATTTAGATTACAATTTGAGTGTGCAGGACCTCTGTACCGCCCGGTCAGATGGCAATGATCGCGAACGCGTGTATCGTCTTGCGCAAACGGCTTTTCGCATATATGACAACGAGTGGCGCTATGGAATTTCTCCCACTCTTCGAACGTTAAATTTACCATGGGGACATTTGCTTTTAAAATATTTTTTACACGTAACGCCAAATTTTTAAGGTCTTCGGCGAACCATGCTATACAATCAACGCTACGACGCGAATGATACGCTGATAATGAGTCGTCGTACGAACAATGTACATAATAAGCTAAACTAAATACCCGATGGCGTTGATATAATTTCTCTTCTTTTGTCTTGGCCAGGACACATTCCAAGTCGGCGTAGACCACAAATGGAAGCCGCTCCTTCCGATTAGGGTTGCTGAACTCGAGCCACTTGTCCTTGTCGCTCGGCAACCGGACAGCGCAATCGTTCAGCTTTCCGCAGTCGACCGTATGCGACTGCAACTTGGCGTCCGAAAGAAAATAATGAAGGCATCTGTAAAGAAAAAAATTTTAATTAAGATTTATGTAACAAAGTGTATAACCAATAATTATCCAAATAATATAAAATAAACTTACCGATCGCAGATATATTTTTGAGTCTTGTGTTTGCTCAGTTGCGAGCTCACAAGCCGGGATAAATTCTTAATCCAAGCGAAATGTCCCACGCTGTTGTCATTTTCAATGTATAGCAGGTTCACATGCTTGTCCCGCTTCTGGTCCGAAAGACGGGACAATGTTTTTGTCTTCGATGCCGTACACATTGATTGAAATGTCATTTGCATGTTCAAATTT